CGCGGGGAGAACGAAGGGAGGGGCGCGCGGACGCGCGGTGAGGGGCAAGGAGGTGCGAGACCAGGTAGGAGCCGCGGGAAGCGCCAGGGGGCGACAGGAGTCGGGGCGGGTATAAAGAGGGCGGGCGCGGAGGGAGGAGCCGGGAAGGCTGCTTCGCGGTGGTGGCGGGGTGCGTGGCCGCCTCCTCCCACCCCCGGGTGGGGACGCTTCTCCCCGCGGCCCTAGGGGCTCAGAAGAGGCCTCGTGGGGACGCTTCTCCCCGCGGCCTAGGGGCTCAGAAGAGGCCTCGTGGGGACGCTTCTCCCCGCGGCCTAGGGGCTCAGAAGAGGCCTCGATTCTCACCTCCCGACCGGGAAGAGCGACCCCGCGTTATCCGGAAGACGCCGGGGAAGCGCCGGATTGGAAGCTGCTTCCGGTCCCCGTGGCCGGGTTGGGGGCCCGCCCGGGATGGAGCAGCGGTTGCCATGGAGTCGAGCCGCCGCCACCGCCGCCGGCTTTCAGTGTGACGCGGCCCCAGAGTTAGGGGAGGGGGATAACCCCGACGGGTGGGAATGCGGCTGCTCGGCGTCCCTGTTCACATAAACCGGCGTTGTTGTTTCTCATAGTGCTTCTACTTAGGTTATTCCATTTACTCTCTCAATAACCCCGTAAGGTTATTCCCAGTTTACAAGAAATAAGCCCCAAAGTTTCGTGACTTGCCCACGATCACAGAGAGGGAAGACTCCTGCACTTTCTACCTTTAAGTACAACTTGCCTCTAATATCCGCGCCGCTGGGGTTTTGCTTCAAATAGTGCTGTTTTAAGGAACAGGTTTGACCCCCTCACCCCTGCCGCACGCTTTCACAGGAGAACCTGATGGCCCTTAAAAAGGTGAGAATCCACCTGCACACGTATTTTGGCATATATTTTTTTTTCCTCAGATAATCTTAAGTAAATTTAAGAATAAATTTGGGGCTAAATGAGCTACAAGGCCACGACCCCACATATTGGCTTCCTCTTCCAATCACTTTCCATAGGGACTCTTGGAAAATGTACTTGTGGAGGGAAGTAGGGAATTAGGAAGAGAACGGAGGATGCTTAAAAACAACTTGCTAATTAATAAACAACAATAACAGGAAAAAGGGGCGCCTGGGTGGCTCAGTTGGTTAAGCAACTGCCTTCGGCTCAGGTCATGTTCCTGGAGTCCCGGGATTGAGTCCCGCATCGGACTCCCTGCTCAGCGGGGTGTCTGCTTCTCCCTCTGATCCTCCCCCTCTCATGCTCTCTGTCTCCCATTCTCTCTCTCAGATAAATAAATAAAAAATCTTTAAAAAAAAAAAAACAATAACAGGAAAAAAACCCTGGGCATGATCTCTCCCCGCAAAAAGTATGCCAATACTGGAGTCTGAAATAAAGGGAGAAGAGGCTGCTTTATTCTGTCTATACCAGACCTAGAGGGTTTGTTTGTTTGTTTGTTTTTAAGATTTTATGTATTTATTTGACAGAGAGACAGAGCGGGAACACAAGTAGGGGGAGTGGGAGAGGGAGAAGCAGGCTTCCTGCAGAGCAGGGAGCCCGATGTGGGGCTTGATCCCAGGACCCTGGGATCATGACCTGAGCCGAAGGCAGATGCTTAACGACTGAGCCACCAGGTGCCCCCAGACCTAGAGGGTTAGGGGAGAAACTTGTATCTTAATTAATCTACCAGGACTTTAAATTTGAAGAAATTCTTGCATCAATAGGGGACTTTCACAGGATAAGATTTTTTGTTGAGGCAGCTGCTAACACAAATAGCAAGATAGCCCAAAAGTGCAGACGAGAATGTGTTTACTCTGATGGTAGGTAGGTTAATTTAATCAAGGCAACGAGGCATCTGAAACAAGAGCGGTCAATGCTTGACAATGGTGTGAAGTCATAGAAGGTAGTTGAAGGAGAAAATGGACAACAGTTGAAAGCTGCAAAGAGAGTAAGGAACTGTGAAAAGCCATAGGATTTGGCAAGAGGTCAGGAGTGAATTGATGGGTTTGGATTCCACTAGATATGCAGATCATTCCCAAAGCTGAAGTTAAAAAAACACATAAAAGACTATTTATGAAAGTTTCACAGTATGTTTGATAAAGCACAGGTTTTGTTTGCCTTTTATTTTTTTACTTTTGGGGGCAGAGTGAAAAATTAGCAGGAACAAGGTCCTAGTAGAGAGCACATCTATATACCAGATGCATGGTACTAACTGAGAATTCAAATGTAATATACAGATTCTTGCTTTTTTTTTTTTAAAGATTTTTTCATTTATTCATTTGAGACAGACAGATACAAAGCATGAGCAGGGGGAGGTCCAGAGGGAGAGGAAGAAGCAGGCTCTCCGCTGAGCAAGGAGTCCGATGTGGGACTCGATCCCAGGACCCTGGGATCATGACCTGAGCTGAAGGCAGAGTCTTAACCATCTGAGCCACCCAGGCGCCCCAAGATTCTTGCTTTTTAGGAACCGATAGACTAAGAAGAAGGGTATATAAACTGACGGTTGTAAACAACGTGGCAGATGTTCTGATGGAGCTATCTACAGGATGCTATAAAAGCACAAAGAAAGAAGGTGCTGGGGCAGGGGGGAGAGGTGGAGAGAGTGAGACTGGGATTGATGGGGGAAAGCTGAGTGCCATGTAGTCCAAATTGAGAAGCCAGTGCAGAAATTTTATATTTGCTGAGATCGATGGATGGCAAGGCATGAGAGGCTCAGGGTGAGGATGAAGAAAGAAGTAGCTTGCTTTAAAAGATGTGGCAGGCCATAAAATAAAAAAAAAAAAGATGTGGCAGGCCAGGTAAAAGGCTATGAACTAAAATTTGAAGTAGGATCTGGAGTAAGTGGCACAAGCCTATCTGCAGTTCAGATAGAACTCTGTGATGGCAATGTGAAGGTTGGATTTGGGAGGAGACAAAACTCAAGGCAGGGTGACCAGCTCTGAAACTATTGTGAAGATCTGGACGGCAGCTGTTGGAGATCTGAACTAGTGCAGAGGGAGTGAGGATGGAGGCACATCAGGAAACATTAGGATGCTAATGCTTGCTTGGTGGGCAGACTGACAGATGATTGGATAGTGTATCATTTAGGTAAATTTTTTAAAAGATGGTATGAGCAGGTTTGACAGTGGGTTATGTGGACATTTGAGGAGAATTTTCAGTAGATTGAATCTGAGGCTGAATAATAGGTGATAATCAATACCGTCTACATAATTGGACATTTTATGAGATTATGTAAAAATAAATATCAAACATGCCATATACCTAAATGCTTCCCTTATATAAGCATATTAAACTCCCTATGAATTTCATAAACCACTTATTAATGCAGTGAAGAGGGCACTCTATAATATTATATTCACTCTTCTACTTTTCTTCTTTATCATTGTATTTCTTTTTTTTTTTAAGATGTTATTTTTAAGTAATCTCTACACCCAACATGGGGCTCAAACTCACAACCCCAAGATCAAGGGTTGCATGCTCCATGGACTGAGCCAGTTAGGCGTCCCAATCACTGTATTTCTTTATCCCAGCATATTTACTCTCCATCTGGTTAGAAACTTTTACAGGTGTGGATCTGTATCCATCTGTACACACACTCATTTTTTCCTTGCCTAAAGAAGCATGAAGAGGTGTGTTAGAGACAAGCTGCCATGTTTCTACAAGGATACTGAGTTAGAGAGTTAGGTTTAGAAATAAAAGGCAATTTGCCTACAATGGAGCTATGGTTTCCAAGAGGGTGGTGGAGAGTGTGTGGAGGAAGTCCAAGTGTGCGTACATACTGAATAGCTGTGAGAGTTTGAATGAGTGAGCCATGTGTCCCTTTGTGGAAGACAAGAATGAAGTATCAAGTTAGGAAAACAACTAAGGAAGCATCCCAGACTGAGTTTATCTTCCCATACTTACACCCTCAACTGCCATGCTTCTCAGATTCCTTCTTTGATAGTGAAACTCCTGTTGGCTCCGTATTCCAGGCAGAAGTCTTAGAAGTCATCTTGGATATTTCCCTCTTCCTTGTTCACTGTTTCCAGAAGTGAGCAGACAGACCTGGGTTCACTCCTCAACTCTGCCACAAGCCAGCTGTGGGTAAGTTCCTAAAATCTGCTAATCCTTGTCTCATTACAAAATAGGGATCACAATAGTCATCTCGTTGGAAGAAGATTAAATAAACTAATGTAGGTAGGTAAAGCTCCCCAGGCAATTCCAGTGGGCAGCTATATTAGTTTCTTAGGGCTGCTATAACAACCACAAAATTGGTGCCTTAAAACAACAGTTCTGGAGGCCCAAAGTCTGAAATCAGTGGCACTGGCCAAAATCAAGATGTCAGCTGAGCCGCACTCCCTCTGGAGGCTCTAGGGAAGAATCCAGTCCTTTCCTCTTACGGCTTCTGGTGGCTGCCAGCAGTCTATGGCTTATGGCTGCCTCACCCCAATCTTTAAGGCCAGCATCCTCAAGTCTTTCCTTTTCTCCCTCTGGTAAGGCTACATGTAATTGCTTTTAAGGCCTACCCAAAAAATCAAGGATAATCCCCGCCCCCGCCCCATCTCAGGATCCCTATTTTGTTCACTCCTGCAGAGATCTTTTCTCCAAATAAGGTAATATTTACAGGTTCCAGGAATAGGACCTACTGTCTTTGGGGCCATTTTTTTGGTCTCCCACAGCAGCTGAGGTTGAGAACCTCCATATTAACTAAATAAAGAACTGCCTCAAAAGGAAAGCTTGTTTGGGAAAATTAACGTTTGATAGGCATTTAGGTTTTTTGGTTTGTTTGTTTTTTATTGAAGTATAGTTAACATACAGTGTTACGTTAGTTTCAGGTGTACAATATAGTGATTTAACAATTGTATACATTACTCAGTGCTCATCATGATAATCCCCTTTATTTCACCCCTCCTGCCACCCTGAGAAGAGTTTTAACCCATGGTCTGTGGGCTCTGTATCTGTGTGCCTGATGTGGTAACCACTAAATACATGTGGCTACTTAAGTATAAACTTATTAAAATTAAATAAAATTAGGAATTCAATTCCTCAGTCACTTTTGCCAATTTCAAGTCCTCAGTAGCCTCATATGACCAATGGCTGTCACACTGATGCACAAGCATCACGGTACAGAGCTCTAATGGACACCACTGAACTGTGTGTTTCTAGGTGTGTATGTGTACTTCTCTGGGGACAGGGTCTAACAGAAGACACAAGTTATCAACCTTGACAAGGACTAGTCTGTGATGTGATTTATTTGCCCCATAATTTTGAAATTGATTTGGTTTCCAAAATGTAAATTTTGATTCAATACATTAAAGAAAATCCACACTACTCACTTCTTTTGGAAAACTGAAAAATCTAAGAATACTGATCCTGCATTCCCTCTGGACAAATGTTTCTTGGAGCAAAGTAGCTGCTACCTGTGGACACTTAGAGCCTGCTTTCCCCAGTTGCTAAAAGTCCCCACCTGCCCCTTTCCAGTTCCATCACCTGCGTAGCTTCTAGTCTGAGATTTCTGGTCTTCATCTTCTGTCTGATTCTCAAAGATGTCCACGACCCATATCACTGCTTCTCCAAGTTGAATGTGCATAGGAATCACTTGAGGATCTTGTTAAAATGCAAATTCTGATTCAGTAAGGTTGAGGTGGGGCCCAAGTTTCTACATTTCTGACACATTCCTAGGTAATAATAATACTTTGAGTAGCAAGGCTCTGATTGAATCTGGGAGCTGGTTCATGATATCTAGCAACAAAGAAACAAAGGCAATGTCTGTTTCCTAGACTAACTTAATGAAGAGCCAAATTCAAGCTGCTAGAAAGCTGGTCCAAATATCAGACAGGTTACAGCACTAGGAGCGGTACTGTACAATTGGTAAGTGAAATTTCTTTCCCCATCTTTAAAGTGGCTTGTTTGGTATTTGATAGTGAATTTGTACCAATTAAAACTTAATTTATTTTTTATTTTTTGGAAGGTTTTATTTTTATTCCACTTATCATACAGTACTATTAGTTTCATTTGTATAATATAGTAATTCAACACTTCCGTACAACACCCAGTACTCATCACATAAGTACATTCCTTAATCCCCATCCCCTATTTCTGCCATCTCCCCACCCACCTATCTCCCCTCTGGTAACCATCCATTTGTTTTCTGTAGTTAAGAGGCTGTTTTATGGTTTGCCTCTTTCTCTTTTTTTCTTATCCCTTTGCCCATTTGTATTGCTTCTTAAATTCCATATATAAGTGAAATCATATGGTATTTGTGCTTCTCTGAATGGCTTATTTCACTTAGCATCATACTCTCTAGCCCTATCCAGGTCGTTGCAAATGCCAAGATTTCATACTTTTTTATGGCTGAGTAATATTCCATTGTATATATATATATATATGCCACTTCTCCCTTTTTCTTTTCCCCCTCACATCTAGGGTTAGGGTTCAGGATAGGACTGGGGAAAGGGTGAGGGTTAGGATTAGGGCCAGGGTGAGGGTATGGGCCTTGTATACTGCTGGTCGGAGACCACTCCATAGGATGTTGGTTAGGGTTAGGGATTAGGGGAAATGTTAGGGTTCAGGTTAGGGTTTTGGTATGAGCCTGGTATCCTGCAGTTCAGAGACCTCTCCAGACTTCTGCTTGGGTGTGATTAGACATGGCATCCATCCACCAAGCTGAGGCAAGGGAGGGACTTAGAGCTCTAAATACTCTTTTTTTAAAAAAAGGTTTATTTATTTAGGGGCTCCTGGGTGGCTCAGTCAGTTAAGCGTCTGCCTTCGGCTCAGGTCATGATCCCAGGGTCCTGGGATCGGGTCCCACATCGGGCTCTCTGCTCAGTGGGGAGTCTGCTTCTCTCTTTCCTACTCCCCCTGCTTGTGCTCTCTCTCTCTCTCTCTCTCTCACTCTCTCTGTCAAATAAATAAATTATTTTAAAAAAGATTTATTTATTTATTTTAGAGAGAGAGAGTATGGGTGTGTGTACACTAGCAGGGGAAGCAGCGGGGGGCGGGAAGCAGACTCCCTGCTGAGTGGGGGAGCCCAAAGCAGGCCTCCACCTCACAACCCTGAGATCATGACCTGAGCTGAAACCAGGAGTTGGATGTTTAACCTACTGAGTCACCCAGGTGCCCCTAAATACTCTTTAATTAGATGTTCAATTGTTACTTCTGTTTTTATCTCTACCTTCACACCCATTTTCAGAAATATTACCAATTCTTAAAGGTTTGGGATCTTCCCCAGAATAACTCGGCTGCTCTCAGCTTTTCTTATTTTGTGTTCAGGAACCCACTTTCTCAAATCTAGTGTTAGGGTTAGAGTTACAGTAAGGGTTAAGTTTAGGGGAAGGTTATGTGCCTGGTATCCTATAGTTCAGAGACCTTGCCAGAGGGTTAGGTTTATGGTTAGGGTTAGGGAAAGGGTTATGCTTAGGTGTTCCAGTTACAGGTTAGTGGTAGGACTAGGGTTTGTGTTAGGGTGATGGTTAGGGTGAGGGTGAGGGCTACTGTATGTGCAAGGTGTCTTACAGTTCAGAGACCTTTCCAGAGAAGAAAATCCTAGACTTCTGCATAGGTGAGAATAGACATGATAGCCATCCACTGAGCTGAGGCATGGAAGGGATTGGGTACTCTAATCTTTAAACAGATACTCAGTTGTTCCTTCTATTTTTATCTCTGTCGTCACACTCATTTTCAGAGCGTTATTATTTCAATACCCATTAGTTAAATAGTAATATTAGTTCCAGGTATAATATTAGTTCTAGGTGTATAACATAGTGAGTCAGCATTTCCATACGGCGCCTGTTGCTCATCACAACAAGTGCTGTCCTTCATACCCATCACCTATTTCACGCATTCCCTCTCCCACTAAAACTAGTTTAATTATTGCACAGATATGGGTGGAGTTGTTTTTAATTGCCCACTCAGCAAATGTCTCTGAGTTGGAGTTTGCCTCAGATTCTTAGCAGAAACCATTTTACCATACATTCTGAAGATGATCAAACAACCTAAAGATGATACATATCTTCCTAGTGTGGATTCCTTGAATGACCAATAGGGCTGAATTCTGACTCCCCATTCCCCAGTGTGGATCATGCAGTGCTGAATAAGAGTTGAGTTTTAAGTAAAGGTTTTTCAAGAGAATGTCCCAAAACTGAAATATGGGAATTCACAGATTAAAAGGGCCAACGCTTTGCATGCACAACATGAAGGATGAAGACCTATATCATTCTGGAATTTCTCAAAATATAGGACAAAATTTGAGATCCTAAGAACTTCCGGAATCTAACTAGCTGCAAACTAAAAATTGAAAAACGGGATGATATTAGACTTCTCAGTCTAGAAGATGATGAACAATGCCTTCAAAATCTTGAGGAAAATTAATTTCCCACTTAAACTCTGATGAATGATATTCAAAGTAGGAATAATTTTCAGATATGCAAAGCATTAAAAAAAAGTTACCTCCCATGCACCCTTTCTCAGGAGGTTACTGGAGGTCTACCTAAAAGAGAGAGTAATCCAAGTAATAAGCATAGGGGATTCAACATAGTAGGTAATGGAAGAAATTCTTGAGAGGGTGATAAAGGAGATCGAAGTTGAAAGTTTTGGAGCTAAGAAGATGGAGAGTTCAAGGCACATGCCTCCAAGGGGAAAAGTACTGCAGACAGAGTACTCGGTGTGTTTGGTATGTTCCATTGCTGAGAGGAGATGTATACTTTGGGGTGAAAGTTTGCAATTCTGGCAGGATTAGTGATGGGTACATAGAAGACTAAGCAAAGGGGGGAAACCATACTCATTTATCATTAAGTCCAGGCAAAATGGTGTGCAAGAAATTTAATTATAGTACATTAGAAGACTTAGCTATGAATAATACATACATAGTCATTATAATGTGAACACTGAAATCTGATCTAACCAAAATAAGTTAGAAGTATATTGGGAGGTTTGAGGGAAGGGGGGGGAATGACAATTCTGTGTATGAAGGTAATGTGGCTGTGTAAGAGAGCTAAATCCTTATATTCCCTAAAATGAACTTAATAACATGTAAAAGTCAAATATCAAAAGAGATGGCTGTCTTAAGTTATTTAGAACGTGTAAATAAATCCCCATAGAAACAGCTATACGAATAGGAATTTGGATGCAGTTCTGCAGAGCAGGACTTAGTGGTGGGATGGGGGGGAAGGGACGGCCCTCGTCCATTCCAGGTCTTATAGACCAATTTGACTTTTCCATTATGAGTATCATAACATCAGTTATAGAGAATAAACTACAATCGCACCTCCCATTCCCTTTAAGCCTTCTGTAAGGAGCTTCTACCCTTAGCCCTTCCCTTGTCTTCCCTATTGTCAAATATAATTCACTTATTTTAGTCCTTATCTTCTCAACATTTCACATTATTACCTACCGTACTTCTTCCACTTTGAATTCTGTCCTCCCTTACCCCTCTGTCTTCAGGTTCTCTTCCTTCTTCTGAACACTCCTTACAGTAGTTCCTCTTGTTCGGCATTCCCACATATTATTCGTGTTCTTCATTGTTCTGCCTTTGGTTCCTGCACTTTTCGTGCTCTAGGCTCTCTTTGGGCTAGCTCATCTATTTCTACATATAAGCCTTCAACTACCATCTCTAAACCAGTGAGTTCCAGTTTATGTCCTGAGCCTGAGCCTTTTCTTGAGCCTCCTCCGCATAGAGGTGACTTGAAGAAACATCACTACTTGTTTGTTTCACAGGCACCGTAAACCAAACCTGCATTCCTCCTCACTTCCTCTCCACTCGCCTCTTTTTCTTCCTTATCTCCTGGATGAACACCACCATCCCCCCAGTAGAAATCTGGGATCTTCCAAGATGTGTCTCCGTCACTCATGTGCATGTCAGACGGGGTCTGTGTCCCGTTCATCCTTGTGTTCTCTGTGTCATTTGTTCCCTTGAAGGTAGCTGGCACAGTGATCTCTAGTTAATTCTTGCTCCATAAATATGTGAATAAAATGAGGATCAAACTGATAAAAGGGACAGTTTCTGAAATTTAACAGACTGTTCAGATAGATTTCAAGGCACAGAAGACAGACAACCCGCAAGAAGGAGAGCCCAGTGGTCAGAGAGCTGCTGCAGGAGGATATGTTGGAATAAAGCATGATGGCTTCATGACATTTTCACGTGAAGAGATGGACATCTGAAATTTCCCACAGTACCGAAAATCCACGTCTGATAAGACAGTAAAGCCTAATGAGAGGAGAGATGTATGGTAGAATTTCAGAGTCTGCTATAATCTTGGGTGTTCAGCACATTGTCCATACAGAATCTTGCTTCTCGCCTTTCTCCCAAAGCATAGGGCTTCAGCTATTCATTCATGAGTTGGTTCTCCCCAAACTGGAACTGAGCATTTGGTAATAACTGGGTTTGGTGCTGTATTAGCTCCCTAGGACTGCCATAACAAATTGCCACGAACTTGGTGGCTTAGGACAACAAGAATTTATTATCTCATTGTTCTGGAGGCTAGAAGTTTGAAATCAAGGTGTTGGCAGGCCCATGCTCCCTCAGAAAGCTCTAGAGAAGAGTCCTTCTTTACCTCTTTCCAACTTCTCATGGTTGCTGGCAATCTCTGCCTCTGTCATCACATGGCTTTCTTCTCTCTGGTCTAAGTGCGGCTCCATGTCTCATCTCCCTTTAAAAGGACACCAGTCATTGGATTTAGGGCCCACCCTCATCCTGTATGACCTCAGCTTAACTAATTACATCTGCAAAAAAAAAGGTACATTTCTAAATAAGGTCACGTTCCAAGTTTCCAGGTGGACATGAATTTTGGAAGGATACTGTCAACCCATTACAGTGCTTTTGCCAGCTAGTAGTTCATTGAAATTCACCCTTTACCTGGTCTGTAAACATGAAATGGGCCTCTTAAATATTTTTCCTTTACCAACAAGCATGATATTATGATTTGTCAGTAGGAGGCTCTGGAAAGACATTACAAGAGAAAGGGGCTTCCCGTCCTGGTTCTGGTGTGCTGGCTCGACAAGCTTAGCATGCAGCTCTCCAGGAGGCAGCAGCAGATCTCCCTGGCAGCAGTTTCTTTCTGCACCCTCTTGGGCAGGTTCAGAGCAGAGTGCCACTAGTGAGATACTTCACAGTGAATGACTTTCCCTTGCACTCTGGAGAAAAGACTTTCGGCAAGTTCCATTACCGTGGCACAATAGAGACTTCTCTGCTGTGCAGTGAGCCATGGCTGTGCACTGTAAAGGAGGCTGCTCATCATCAGGTGGACACTCCATGGATATAATTCAGTCTCTTACCCTAGTCACCCCAGTGCTTGCTCAGTGAGCCATAAACAAAGTGGCCACAGTGGTAGGGATGGAGGCTATGCATGGGGTTCAGAAACATGGACTTCCCCTACTCAGTGTTGATTTGTCTAACATTACTGCTGAGTAGCGAATCTGTCAACAGAAGAGGTCAACACTAGGCCCCTTATATGGCACCACTCTCCACGGGGACCAACCAGCCACCTGGTGGCAGATTGATTACACTGGACCTATTTCTTCACAGAGGAGGCAGAGATTCATCCTCACTGGAATATGCATGTTTTCTGAATGTGGAGTTGCCTTCTCTCAACATAATACTTCAGCCAGCTGTACCATCTGTGTACTTATGGAATGCTTTATCCATCATCATGGTATTCTGCACGGCATTACTTCTCATCCAGGAGCCCATTTCACAGCTAAGGAAATACAGCATGGGGCTTATGCTAATGGAATCAACTGGCCTTAACCCTCATATTCCATCACCTAGGAGCAGATGGCTAATTGAGAGTTGGAGTGGCTTATTGAAGACTCATTTGTGGTGCCATTTGGGAGACAATACCCCAAAACAATGTGATTCTGTCTCACAGGATACAGTGTAAGCTTCGAATCAGCAACTGTTACAGGGTGTTCTCGCTCCCATAGCCAGAACACATGGATCTGAGCATCAAGGGGTAGAAGTGAGAGTGGCCCTTCTCACTCTTAAACTCAGTAACCCATTTGCAGGATTATTTTTCCTGCCCCAGAAACATTGAGCAATGCTGTTATGAAAGTCATAGTCTCCAAGGGAGGAATGCTTCCATTAGCAGACACAGTGGTTCAATTGAATTGGAAAGTGAGAATGCCTCCTGGACATTCTGGACTTCTTATATCATTGAACCAACTGGCCAAAAAAAAAAAAAAAAGTCACTCTAGGTGAGGTGAACTCGAGTTGCTGCTATAAATGCAGACAAGAAGGACTATGAAACCCAGGGAGTTACTTGGAGGTGCCTAGGAGTGAAGGTTTTGGTCACTCCAGGTGAATTTCGGGCTGAGGATGGGGGAAATGTGGACTGGGGAGTGGAAGAAGGAAGATGTAGATACCATTGACAGCCTCACAGCAAATCGCAGAAACCATGACAGCAGGAGCTTTGTGTATTCTCTGTTATACATGCGTGTTTATTTTATATGCTAAACAGTTTCTTCTATCTCCTTCCCGTTGTTATTTTATGTACCTAGAGTTGAAAGTTAACTTCACAATGTATTCATTAGGTAACAGAATATTTAGTGGGACTTGGCCTGAATTTGAGGAGTAGTTAAGATCACCAGTGATGGATACAATGACTTTTGGCACTGTGTCTCTCCGTATTTTGAGGAAAAGGAAAATAGTTGTATTTTGTTACAAGAAAAACTGGAGTTGTTTTATTGATGTACAGAAGTTCAAAAATGTATAGAAGAGTGCACATGGAAGCTGAATAGCCACAGAGCTACCCTCATTTGTATTGCTGTGCTTTTGCTTAAGCTATTCTTGAGTTTTAAATGGCTCTTCTTATTCTCTCAAATTTGAGGCCCAGCTTGTTTCACCATGAAGTGAACCAATTACTTTACCCTATACTGATTTCCTCCCCTCATGTCCCTGAAGAACTTGACTACATCACACATTTAGCACCTAAGTATACTCTGAATGTAATTTTTCTCTAATTATTTGATGTGTTATACTGCCTTTCCACCAGCCCCAGCCCACCAGATCCGAAGCTCTTTAGGACTATGTCTCTTTTTCTTTCTTTTCGTTATCCATCAAAAACACACATATGAATACACACTCAATGAATACGTCTTAATTTAATAGCTGTCCTCACTCACTTGCTGCACTGGTTAATCTGCTTCTTGCTCCAAATTCACTTTTAGCTAATACAGTGTTTCCCAACCTAATTTGACTAGAGAGTACTTTTGACATTAATATACAATGTCTCAAAACCACTTGGGAATTTAAAAAAAATCTCATCAGTTTTTTGCTTTGTATATAGTAGTGATTTATGTAAAATATTTTATTTTGGATTAACATATCATAAAATTCTTTTAAAAATATACTCTATTTCATTGGTTAATATGACTTTTCCCATTTCTTAAAAATAATTATGTAAGAAGAATTAAAAGGACATACTGTAGTTCCTCAAAAAATTAAAAATATGATCCAGTAAGAAGAATTAAAAGGACATACTGTAGTTCCTCAAAAAATTAAAAATATGATCCAGTAATTCCACTTCTGGGTACAAACTTAGAAGAACTGAAAACAGTCTTTTTTTTTTTTAAAGATTTTATTTACTTGACAGAGAGAGACACAGTGAGAG